AAACCAGAGGACAACCTTCTTCCCTAATTGGGAATACTAAAGTCGCTTGAATTCATGATGGCCAGTATTTTAGCTCCTTAAATCTAGGATGGGCTACCACCTTTCATTCTGCTGTGAAACAATACAATTTTGCCCATTCATTTTTCATCTATTTGACATGAAGAGTCATTAGATCAAAGGATGCCAAGGTAACACAGAAAAAACATTGCTTCTTGGACTGGACATCCATCTCCCAGAACACCACTATTAAACGCTGATTTACCGTGAGTCACTAAACCATGAAAGGTAAACCATCAAGGAAGAAAGTGAAAGTAAAAGACAAAGGGATGTCTGGAATTTATTAGTGGACTGCCACAGAAAAGGGGGATTAACAGTAAGAAACATTTGTGCTCTGTAATTGCAGCTAAAACCATTTGTGGCACAAACAGAAGAAAAAGATGAGCATCTCTCACTTGAAGTATAAATTGAATACTTGTTGTCATCTCTTCTCTGTTGCACTCATGCATGAGGGGCTAACCATATAGACAGGGAAAGCTAAATACTTATCTTGAGAATATCCTTTTCCTCACAAGACCTGCATGTAATCTTCATAAGTCAGAAAAACAGAGATTTAGGAAAAATTAGATTTGTAGAAAAACCTCAGTGGAGATCCCCCAGGACACCTGGGTTTTCTTCCGGTTGTGATATGCTCTAGCATTATACCTTTTTTACCTCCACCCACTTCCAAGAGGAGTAGAATCATCACCTGATCTGTGTTCTCAGTGATACAATGCAAGGTCTCTGACTGCAATTCCATAGAGGGATCCCACTTAGCAGTCACCATGGCCTCCATCCAACCAGTACAGGAATGTTTGGAACTAGTTGACAGCACCTCTAAATTGGAAAATGCACAGATCTTCACTCACCTGAGTCTTGTCCCATACAGAAATTCAATACACTCCTCTTCTCCTTTTGTGCTTTTGCATCATCATTTGACAGGGTGGTTCAAAAGCCAGGCTGAACCTGCAGGTCTAATGTACGAACCAGAGGCTGAACAGGATCTCGTGGGTGCCCCAACAGGCCTTTTGGCATGAGGAGAAGCTGCAAATGGGAGCACTGGTATCAAACTGCCTGGTGCCCAGCAGGTCTCTGGCATGCTTTCCTCCCTGTGAAGAGGAGAGAGCAGATAACCCGGTACAATTTGGGTGCTCAGACATCCCTCAAGCCTATGATATCTGCCCTCATGCCTTTTAGGCACAAAGTACCACTAATGCTTCCCAGGACTATGCACAAGCCCTGGAAGGAAATACGCTTATCTAGATACTATTTATTTGGATCTCACATAAGATACAGAGATGAAATCCAGCTTTTATGGGATAACACACAACGGAAAAAAAAACAAAAAAAAAAACAAAAAACCAACAACCACACAAACAAAAGAAGAGTCCTTTAGTTGTCTCCTCCCCTCTCTGTTTACAAAGGTCATCACGAGGAAATGTCTCCACAGAGCCTGGTGCTTGATGGTTCAGGGCAGAAATTATACAAGAAGGAAGAATCAACAAGGAAAAAGGAAAGAAGTGGATTAACCACTAGCTTATAATAAAAAGCAAAAGTCATAGCCTGTCAAGAGAGAAAAAAACAAACAGATGTATTAAACACACCCACCCCTTTTCACTTGGGAGAACAAGGAACTAGATATAAGTATTTACTACTAGTGCAAAGATGTCTCTGCCCTCAGGTGCCTCACCATCCCAAAAGTGAATAAACAAACTGTCACTTGAAAATATATCTTGCATCTTTCTGTCAAGAAAACTTAAGCCAAGGATATTTCAGCCATTTTGTGTCCTCTTATGCTTTCCCAGGCAATGCCTTAGCAAGTGACTCAGCGTGCTACTTCCCACAGTTCTTATTTTCACCAAGTAAAACAGAAGCCTTACCCAAATCCTGACTGCATTATTCTACTTAATTCTGTTAAGCCACTGCCTATCAAACCAAGAGGAGAGAAAGAAGCTCCTAGTCTTGTAGATAATAAACAAAGAGGAGCACGTCACAACTTATCTACCACATACCATTTCTTACTGTCTATCCAAATATATGACTTGTTATAATACAGTTGAGACAGCCAATTCACCTCCTCTGTAGGCTCATCAAACCATCAATCAGACTCACATTTATTATTTTCTTGCTGAATTTTTTTCTCCTTCTGCTACTACCTCCTAAACTAAATACAGAGCCAATAACAATACTGTCCAAACTCCAGTGTGTCAGAATTTAAACTATACCAATACGGTATTTTTTGTTCAAACAATTTGGAGCCAACAACACAAAGCTGGCATTAATTATTAAATAAAGGCCCTTTTTGATCTTTAATAGAAAATTACTGAAGATCCACTAAGCTACTCACTTCCTGTTAAACATGAGCTTCCACGTGAACAAAGCAAGCAGAAAATTAGCATTGTCCTGGCTAAGCCAGGGCCTTCAGCAGACTACAGATCTTTTGATTTTATTGGATGTTCAACATGAGAAGAGAGTAAGTAGATGCACGGATCACTCATTCTGAGAGACAACAAGGCAGAACCCAGTAGACACCTTTCTTAAAACCTAGGAGATTAAAAGCAGCAAGGATCTGCTGACTTCAAGTAATTATTTTTCCAGAATAATGTAATTTGCACAGAGTAGAGGTTTTTTTACAATCCTCAGAGAGACAGTTCACCCCCCAGATGATGGTAGATGGGGTACTTTGTACTCTTTCTTTGTACTAGCACCTATCAAAACAATACAAAAAACTCTGCTATCAGCTGCAAGCTCCTCACCAACAGTCACATCAGCGCGAAGACGAAAACACCAAGACTGCGACAGCGGCAGGGAAGTGACAATGAGCCAACTAAACCCAACCACAGGTGACAAGAAGCAGGCAGTTTATTGCACATGAGCTTTTCCCTCTTTTCAAGTTGATCTGTAACTTGCTGACAAGACTTATTTTTTTCCTTCCCTTTTTTTGACTCAGGCAACACAATCTACATTCATAGCTCCAACATAGATCAGGTTCCTCAGTGCGTAACAGAAAGGCTGACATAATTAAGTGCAACCCTCATTTCCAAAAAGTAATCAACATCTCTGAAGTTATAACCTCTCAGCATTATTTATAAGGCAAAGAAAACCATACTTGTACTGCAATACAACATAGTTCTTCCTGAGAAATGTAACATTTCCCTTTTACATTTTTCTTCCTTCAAATACGCAATAAAACATGTACAAAATACTACAAGGAATAGATTTTTAAGGATAATAAAGTGTCAAGCCCGGGAGTTCAAGATACATTAGTCATTTCTTAGAGGGACCATGCTTCACTGATACTGTAAAATCTGTAGGTTAAAATGAAGAAAATCCATTGGAAATGCATTTTCAATAAGCACCAATGGCTTTGGTAAGTATCTTTTACAGAAAAAAAAAAAGGAACATCTACTACATTTTAAGCTGATTAATACACTTTTCAACTAAACACCGTTGTGTGTTTTGTAATTTAAACTGTCAAGGTGGTTACTGCACAATTTGTCTTTACATAAAAAATTAGCCCTGTGCTTAAGTCAGAGGAGCAAACTGAGAGTTGTGTGGTCTGAGTGACAGTATTTTGCATGGTATACATCACCTAAGATGGTACTAGCAGTCCCTACCGTATTCTTTTACTAACTTGGATTTTTAAAGAGTTACACTAGTCAAGA